CCTCTTTCACCTAGTTGTTGGGTTGAATTTTGTTGCTCCTTTCCCCAGCCGGGCCCAGCCATTCGAAAGTTCCATCTGTCCAGCGGTCACCCCACAGCTAACACGCCTACTTAAGCCCATCCTTCCACCACGTCTAGAGCTGACCACCCTCTACATTCCCCCCAGGCAGGTCGAGAACCTTTGCATGCATCTGACTTCCCTACTTTCTTTCCCCCAGCATCTCTCTGCCCATGTATTTGGAAATTTTAGACTCAAATTTGGTAGAGAGAAGGTTTTAAAGAGAAACGGACATGTAATATTAAATATGTAATTTTAAATACTTTCTATGCTTACCATAGTGCATTTTAGCAGCCACTACATTCTGCTGAATTCTTTTTGCTACTATGTATCCACCAGTAATTCTTTGTCATGGTCTATAAGTGGTAAACTTTTTGAGTTCTTTTGTATTTGAATATGTCTTTATTTTGCCCTCACCTTTAAATGATAGTGAAGCTAGATTTAGAATCACAGGTTCAAAATTCTTTCTCCTAGCAGTTTGAAGCTTTTATTGGGCTGTCTTCTTGCTGACATGAAGTTTGATGTCAGTTTTCTCATTCTTTTGTAGATCTGCCTCCTGTTCCCCACCCATCCCAACTGGTTCTAGAATTGTGTCCTCATCCTGGATGTTACAAGTTTCATCACTTAGGATTAAACATTAATCTTCATTTATACTGCCAATGTTTTCAACCTGAGGAAAGTTATTTCTGAGAAATCATATTTTTTCTTTAAATCCTGCCTTCCTTCCACATTTCCTTTGGGACCTCCAATTTAGGCAGATGTTGGAATTATCTGTGTCAGTTTCTAATGGCTGCTACAACAAAGTACCATGACTTTAGTGGTTTAAAATAACACAAATTTGTTATTTTACAGCTCAGAGGACAGAAATCCTAATTCAAGGTGTTGGCAGGGCTATATTCCTCTTGGAGGATCTAGGAAACAATCTATTTCCTTGCCTTTTCCAGTTTCATGGTCTTTTCCTCCACTTTCAAAATGTACCACTGCAACCTCAGCTTCTGTCATCCTGTCTTCTCTGACTCTGCCCTCCTGCCTCCCTCTCCCTAGAACCCTTATGATTATATTGGGACCATCCAGATAATGTCCCTACCTCAGCACCCTTCACTTAACCACATCTGCAAAGGCCCTTTCCTTATGTAAGGTCACATGTTCATGTGTCGGGATTAGAACATGAACACCTTTGTCCCTCTCCCTAGAACCCTTATGATTATATTGGGACCATCCAGATAATGTCCCTACCTCAGCGCCCTTCACTTAACCACATCTGCAAAGGCCCTTTCCTTATGTAAGGTCACATGTTCATGTGTCGGGATTAGAACATGAACACCTTTGGGGGGGTGTTAGTCTATCACCCCATTTTCTTTCTTCCTTTCCATCCTATCCTGGTATGCTGCATTCTGGGAGGAGACTTGCACTTGAACTTCTGGGTCACTAATTTGTTCTTCAGCTGTGTCTATCCACTCCCTATTGACTTTCAACAATTATATTTCTTATTTCTGAGGTATCTATTGGTTCTTTCTCACAGCTTATGAATGTGACACTGTCGCCTCTCCAAGGATGACATAACTTTTCCTCTTAGAGTCCTATTCTGTCTCCGTGGACCACAAGCCATCTGTGAAGGCCATCTAGCAGCGCTGGCCTGTGGAGCTGAATTGCGCCCCGTGCTGCAGCTGGGATCCCCGGGCAGAGGTACTCTGTTGCTTCCTCTGCCCGTCAGCTCCCTGGATGAGGTGGGGGGGCTGCCCTGGGGCCCACATCGAGCACGGTGTTCAGTGAGAACAGGAGCAGGTGGACATGCTCCTGGGCAGGAACACTGGTGGCTGCTGTTCCTGTGTGTGGGGTGCTCAGGGGGGTCTCACCAGCCCCAAAGCTTCTGCCCATAAGTGCACATTCCCAGAACCGCTGTGTGGCTCATGGCAGCAGGGGCGGTGTCCTGGGGAAAGCCTGACTCCAGCAGTCCTCCACCTCACTCCTGCTCAGCAGCCAAGCAGGGGGGCCAGGGCCATCCCCTCCACCCACACTCGGAGCTGAGGCTTCCCTCTTCAGTCTGTCACATCTGCTCTGAGCATCTCAGGGATTGCTCCCTATTTCGGGGCCATGCAGCTCCTGCCTCACTTTTGAGTGCAGCTACATGTTAACCTCTCGTTTCTTCTCTCATTTCTAGGGTTTGGGCGTGGGAGGGAGGACTGCTGTGTAAGCCCAGCTTGCCATCTTCAAATCCTGAATGTTTGAGGAAAAACTCTATCAAAGGGCACAGTGACTCTTCCGAGGCTACTGTCACTGGTTACAGCAGTGTCTCGCTGGTAGGGTGAGAGTTAGTCCCTTGAGTCCAGCAGCCTTTCCCTCATGCTGTGACGCTCATTTGATTTTCTTAAGCCCAGGTGGGTCTTGGTTCTCTCACCTCATAGCAGCCACCTCTTAGTGCATGTGTCTGCAACTTGTGCACTTGTGATGCCTCAGCAGAATCCTGGAGACCTGCCACCTGGCCCACCACACCCAGTAGGCTGAACGGCCCTTTCTGACACCTCCCTTTGCCCTCCCTATTTCCCATGACTTGCACCTGTCAGGCAGCCCTTTTCTGGGAACTTATCACAGAGAGAGGTTGGCCTCAGTCACAGGTGCTTATTTGGAAGGGACTAGAGTTCAACCTCTCGCTCAAGGAAGAATTTTTTCCTAGGCCGTTCGGGAGAACCCAGAACTCCCTACCTCGCAAAGCCCCCTTTTGTGCAGCTGGGCAGTCCTCTCTCCTGGAGCCCGGGATCTGCTGTTCTGGACCCTGCTCCCTTATTCTAGCTTAAACCCTCTGGAGCAAGACAACAAATCCAGTTCCTCATTATGTGACAGATGTCTGAGGATGCAAAAGCTCTCATGTCTCTCTATGCCACATTCCTCCCACATCTTCCAGTGCCTGTGACGCTTTCCAAGCCCCTCCCAGCCCTGCCCTCTGCCCCCAGCCCCATCATTAAAGAATACAACACCGGCATGGAGCATGGGACCTGGAGCACCAGGTCAGAGCACAGGCGCCAACACCCTGCACACAGACGACAGGCCTCGCCGGTCACCCTCACTCAGTGAAGGGCTCCCTGACTGGCCCTCACCCAAGCACTCTCTCTTTAACGTGAAGACAGGACTTCCTACCATCCTCTGTGTTTTGGCTCAGCATGCCAGTTTCTTGTCATTTTCTAGAATCCTGACTGGGTCATGATCACGGCGGTAATGACTCTTTCCAGCTTCGTGTCACCTGCAAGCAAACTCTGAGAACACATCTGTGGCTTCATCCAAATCCTGCAGCAGGTGGGAAGGGGAAGGAGGATTTGAAGAGGCAAAGGGACGAGAGGAAAGAGAAAGAACATGATCCTCTCCACTCACGGCTCACCTGCCAAACCTCTCAGAGGCCACGTGTACTCAGTCACTGCCCTGCAGTCCCCGCCCCTTCCAGCCCCCACCGGCTTTCACCAGGATTTCCCAGGGGCTGCCTGTTCTCACCAGCCCTGCCCCTCTGCCCACAGCAGGTGGTCCAGAGATAGGCTTGGGAGCTGACTCCAGCCTTGGCATAGGGTCTGGTCAGTCTCCTGCTGAGGTGAAAGGTATAAAATGGCTTCAGCTGTGAGAGAAATGCTCCTCTGAAGGGAGAGAGGACTAAGCTGAGGAGCAGTCAAGGCACAGGATGACCCGGCACAGAGCCTGGCCCAGGGTGGAAAGGCAGACAGCAGAGCTCACTGTTCTGATGAGCTCTGGAAGGTAAAGCGTGGTCTCGCACAAATGACACTGGTGCAGGTAGAGAAAGACGGTGCCCATCGGTCCATTCACTGATGGAGTACAGATGTCTGCGCATGTACACACATCTGGCCATGTCTGTTTAATGAAATGGATCATCTGATTTGGGAAAAAGCATCCTCTTTGCAGCCAACACTGACTAAGCAGGTAAACCTACAGACCCCGCCTCGGGACCCCATCTTTTGACAATCACACCCAGCCCTAGAACCATGGCTGGGCTGTGCCAATGTGAGGCCGGGGAAGAAGAGATCCTCCATGTGCTGGTGTCCTGGCTGAGGACCTGTGCCTCTCCCTGTGCTCAGAGGCAGCTGAGGGTGCTGGTGGCTGCCCACTCCCAGGCCTGGGCCATTTCAAGTCTCGGTCCCAGCCACAGCTCAATAGCCCTGAGGGGAATCCAAGAGCTGCTCTGCTGCCCACAAAGGGCGGCTGTGGGCAGCATCCTGCAGCTCTGGCACTTCAGAGAAGGCTGTGTCCACAGGTCTCAGTGTTGCTCCTGGTCCCCCTGGGGCGTGAGCAGGGGTGAGGGGAGAGGGATGGGATGGTGGAGGGTGGGACGGAAGGAACCAGCCTTGGTGCTGTCCCTGCACAGCTGTCTTGGGGCTGATGGGCCCTCCGGTTCCTCCCTTTGTGAGCAGTTCCTGGTGGTACAAGAGCAGGTGGAAACTCACCTGATCTCTCCAAAGAGGATGGGACAGGGAAAGGAGAAAGCATGTTGGCAGGATCCTACATTCCAAGCCAAGCGCCACCAAGCTCACTCCTGGGCGTGCACGTGGACGTCTCAGATGTGGGCCACTCCGGCTTTCCCAGCACTTTGCTGGCTTGTCTGCTCTCCTAGGTCTCTTGGCCCAGTGTCCTGTTCACCAAACACATACCCCAAACTCTGCTCTAGAGCCTACTTCTCACCACATGCCATGCCAATGAGCCAACTTCCTGGAATTCAGCCCAAATCAGTACTTTCAGGAACTTCCTGCCATGTTTCAAAGAAGCTTTGCCCACAAACAGCCACCAAGAAGGATGTTCCAGCCCCCTGGAGCCTGCTGTGGACACTAGGACACTGTCTTCCTTCCAGCTGAGCCGGCTGCTCAGGCCTCACTGTCGACACCCCTACCACCCAGGAAGATCCTCTTGTCTGAGAGTGGTGTTCAGATCTCTAAGAAGAAACTGACTCCCAAATCTAAAACTACCTTTATTGAGGCTGGCTCAACATAAGATGCCGTCATCAATCAGCAGAATTACAAAACTGTACAGGAGGTACAAAAATAGGCTGTTTAGCTTAGATAATGACACTCACATCATCAAGCTTTAAAAATACACATAAAAGTTGTACAGTCTGGCAGTTTATAAAATATAAAGCTAAAAAGAGGACTTTAGGCTCCACAAAAATGATTGTATCACACAATTAACACATACCAATGACACAGTTAACTGTGCACAGAGAAGACACAATGGCACAGAAATTTTAAAAAATCACCTTAAAATTAACAGATTACCCAGTCCAAATTATTTACCCTTTGATCACAGGACTACTGGAAGGTGTCCATCCCTTGGAAGGATACAGTATAACTTTTCCTTTTCCAGTTTTAAATTTCCATGAGTGTTCTCCAAGACAAATCTGATGTGCTTTAAGCAAGTGCAATTGTAACTGGATACACTTCAGAGTAAAAATTAAATAAATATAAATAGGTTAAATAAATAGCTCATTGCAAAAAGAATACTACACAAGTTTTGCATCTGAGAACGCTGCGTAGTTGACTGGTAATGCTTTCCAGGTAAGTGGGACTCCCCCGTCACAGCTTTAGGGACACTGAAAAGGAAAACTGTATCCACCAAACACACAAAGAGCACACGGGGGAGGCGAGGGGGTGGGGACTTTGGCCAAACTGTTGGTTAAGGCTGCTCCACAGGGAGGCTTCATTGCAGATGTGTTGTTTCCTCATGGTTTCCCAGTGAATACAGGAAGGATTTAGATGCCAATACAAAAATCAGAACCAGAGTTACTCATGGGAAGTCACTGTTTCATGAAGAAGACAAAGCACAGGAAACGAGCTGATACTTTGGTTTAAAAGATAATGGTCCAACCCTGGAAGGCAGGATTTGGGCTCACCCGTGTGGGACACCTGATGGCTTCTTCCAGGAAAAGCCAACACCAGGCCACAGTCAACTGTAACACCAGGACGGTGAAGATGTGGGCAAGGAAAAGAGATGCCAGGAAATATGAAGAGGAGCAAGTTCAGAAACTACAAGGGCAGAGAGTAAAAGCTTACTGGAGACTCTCCAGAGGCCCTTTCCAGGGGTGCTGCGCTTCCTCACGCGGCTCTCCCAGCACTGACGGCCGCGGCAGTGGATCCAGCCACCTTCCAAGAGGACCACAGGCTGAGGCTCCAGTGAACAGAAGATGCCAACAGTGCCCACCACAGGGGCCAAGGTTCCAAGGTCTAGATGAGGTACTCGATGAGGTTTAAAGACGTAGAATAATATTAAGGAAAAAAATCACTTTAGCTATTATGAAAGGAAGGAAACTGAATTCTACGAAGGCAGAATCAGAGCTTTTGACGAGTGGCTCTGATACAACAAAACCAGAAAGCATCTTCCAAGAAGCAGACACAGTGATTTCTCTGTCAGTGGGTAAACGGACACCGTCATTCTTTTATGGAATGGCACTGACCTGTCTGCCCAGGGCTGGAGGCTGTACATGGAGGACATTTCCTTACATGGTACCCTGATTGCGTCTTAACCTCCAAGGTTCTCAGGAGAGAAGAGACAGAGGAATTTCTGACTAAAATTAAAGCTAAAAATTATATTAATTTTAGGAAAAGAAAACAACGTATTGACATAATTTAGAGAATATTACTTTGACATTGCTGAATACATTTACATAGTGTTGCTGTAATGTTTTACTCTTCAGCATTTGAGAATGTTCTAAACATAAACTCTCTTTCTCGAGGAGATGGTGATTTTTGGTACCACACAAGATAGAACGTGTATTATATCTTGCATTTCTTCACGAGTAAGCTTCAAGTTAAGTTTAGCTTGCTTGTGCTAATCTAGCATTCTACAGTTTGATCAAAATATAGTTATTAAAACGTGCCAAGAAAAACATAAAAGCTAGCCCACAAAGCACACAGTGTGGTCTTGGCTCCCAACCCTGACGCTGACTCACTGCGTGTCTCCTGTCCTGCTGGCCTTAGGGACGAGGAGCTTTACTGCCTACCTGCTAGCTCAGGGCTTTCTCCGGGTGGCCAGGGGGTCCCATTCAGCTGCTCCCCTCTGGTCCTGAAGGCTTGTCCCTGTCTGGGTCTTAGCTGCCCTACTTGATGGCCAGGAACTCTTCACCTCTTGCCCCAAATGCTCCTGAACACCTCCACACATGTGGTCCAGGGCACAATCCAGCAAAGGCCACTGTTGAGACCACTGGTGCGCTGGGCTACTGCTGCCTCCAGAACAGAGCTTTCTCCTCATTTCCAAGAAAGCTGCAGACATGACCTCACCTGCCAGCATGCCTCGCCAACCAGTCCCTAACATCACACCCCCATGTGCATGGCTCCTGCTGCCTGAGGATGCACGTGGTGGCAGTCACGTGGGATACTCTCGGTGCACCGGTGCTCAGGAGGCGGCTCCCATCCCCAGGATAGCACCCTCTAAACATCCTCCTCCTCAGCACTGCCCCCAACCCCACTTCTGGCACAGCAGTCTCTTAGTGTATGTCAGCCTAGCTCTTCCCGGGACAAGGGCAAAACTCAGAATTCCCTCCTCTTCCTTCCTGAAAGGCCCATAGACTGACATTAAACAGGAATTTTAAAAAGAAACATGAGCCGAAGTGAGTTTATCCAGCAGCAGGTCGGCAGGGGCTCCTCCCACTGCCTCTGGGACGGGCCCTCCTGTGCGGACATTCCTGACTGTAATGCTTTCAGGGCCAACACCTTCCCAGCTCCCTGGAGGTCACGGGGCCACCTCTCCCAATTCGTGGGGTCAGCATTATCATCTGCTGGCTGCAGAACAGGCGGCTCAAGGCACTTGGTTTGGGAAAGCCTGGGAGGTGTCGAGCTCTGGACTGTGGAGACCAGGCCCTCAGTCATAGCTGGGGCCACCAGAACAGAGAGGCTGCCCTGACTCAGAGGGCATCTGGAGTCACTGTGGGCCAGGGCTCCGGGGGCTCGTGGCAGTAGTAGGGCTGGAAGAGTCTCTCGTGGCCGCACAGCTCCATGGCCCAGTAGGTGTGCAAGAGCAGGTGGGGGAAGCGTGAGGTGAAGTAGCGCACGAAGCCGTCGGGCAGCGCGCCCAGCGTCTCCCGCACCTCCGTGGGGAGTTCCCGGTAGTGGTGCCTCTGCAACAGAGGTGTGGTGGTTAGAAAGTGCCAGCAACGCTGGCCAAACAGCCTTTAATCGTTCAGGGAAGACAGAATATTAGTATTAGTTGGTTGCTTGTGAAGAAAAGGAAAAAAGGTTTCTGAATCCAGCGATCCATCCTGACCATCTTGCCTGCTTCCCCTCATTCGGGAAGGGGCCTCGAAGCCAGCAAGGCCCAGCCCAGGGGAGCAGGAGGTGCTTTGCTACCCAAGAGGTTGGTCCTCCCACAGGTTCGGATCCTATATAGGGGTGGCCAGTTGGCTCACTGGCTGAGCACGGTGCTGAGAGGCTGGTCCAGCAGAGGGTCGACAGGCCTTCCATGGTGGTCAGGGCCTAGAGAAATTCTTGGCAGCCTCCAGTGGAATAAAGTCACCTGAAATTGAAGTGTCTGTCCCAAAGGCCTCGAAGGCTGCTTCTGTGTCTGGGAGTGTGCCCTATTTGAAGGCTGCTCAGTAACAGCACAGGTCACGAGCACCCCGGGCCCCCAGGGAATAAGCTGTGCCCCCTGGACAGCAGGCCCCAGGTGGGAAGGTACCAGAGGGTCCCCGCTGGAGTGTGTTTACATGGTGGCTTTATCAGGCAGGTAAAGGGCATCACAAAAGGCAGTAAAGAGAGATGATGGAGCAGTATACAGGCTTCAGAGAGGCTGCTCCCCAGAGCTTAACTCTGCACCTCAAATCCCTGAAGAGAGAGTCTGAGAAGGGTAGAGACAGCCTCGAATCTGTCAAGTCCAGCTAAGGCCACCTAGCCTCCAAGAGGTCAGCATCCTGGTAGGGACCAATGGACCCACGAAAAATGGAAAAGAGCAAGAGGATGTCTGGGCCGGCCCGTGGCTCACTCGGGAGAGTGTGGTGCTGATAACACCAAGGCTACAGGTTCGGATCCTATATAGGGATGGCCGATTAGCTCAATGGGAGAGCGTGGTGCTGACAACACCAAGCCAAGGGTTAAGATCCCCTTACCGGTCATCTTTGGGGGGAAAAAAAAAAAAAAAGGCAAGAGGATGTCTGTTGCAGCCTCTGGGTCCCCCTCCCCAGTATCCACAAACCCTTTACCTTGTTTCTCATGGCTCGGAGGAGATCTCTGACTGAGCCACCTTTATAGGTTCTGAATTTACGCAGATCTAGAAAAACATTGAGGGATACATGCGATGGTTAAGCAAGGAATAAGTAAGCAAACAAACTTTAAAAGAAAACAATTCCTGGGGTCCTGGGGATTAAGCAATCGGACTGAAATGTGACATAACGCCATGGTCATAGTCACAGGAGCAGATCCTCCACATGGAACCCAAGGGTGGTGTCAGTGTGAGTTCCACCCTGTGACAGCTCCCAGATCAGACATGACCACCCAGAGCATGACACTATCACTACCCTATTACTCTAAGGGACAAAAATGAAACACACATCAGTGTAACCAAACACCAGAGGACATATCCAAGAATGTCTCAAACCCAACCAGTGGTATTTGGAGGCTGAACAGCCCAGAACTGCCGTTTCCATGTTTACTTCTTAGAAACGGCAGCTTCTTCTGAAAGGTTCCCCTCACGGCTGCAGTGTGGTCACCTGTCTGGAGGGGGACTGTGATGTTCTCCCGCCAGTCCATCTTCACCACGGCTCTCCCGCCTCTCTCCAACTGCTTCACGATTGGGCCATCCAGGGACTCCTTTTCTATTCGGTCACTCACATCCTGTGACAAAAGCAAGGACAACAAACGATGGTCAGGGTTTGGAGATGCCGAGAGCTTGAGGATCAACACCAAGTAACAGAACTGTCACTGTCCCATGAGTTGTCATGAGACTGATGGCCCTCTCAGGCCCAGGCTGCAGTCTGCCTCAGAGCTGGGCCCCAAGTGCTCTGCCCCCCACCATCCATGAACTCTTCTCCAGGGAGCAGCTGTGTTTGTTGGTCACTGGGGATAGGCTCGCAGAGACCCTCTGCACAACAGGGGGAGGCGTCACAGGTGCACACCCATGCACATACCACGAAAGCATCACCTGGATCCTACACATGCATACATGGCCCGCATCTGCACAGAGCTATATGTGCAATCTATGTTTGCCAATGAAGCAAAGAAAAAAAAAGGCTCAATTTTGCTCGCATCCTGTGCTTTGTCTACCCATTGAAATAGGACATGCTCAGACCTGTAACTGGCGGAGGGTTGTCATTCTGCACCAGAACAGTAGAAAAGTCAGGTGGAGCCAAGGTTTCTTTTTGAGGAGGAAACTTAGTGGCAAGAGTATTGGCTCTGGAGGTGCCACCAGGATTCAAACTCTGCTCTGCGTTTGCTTGTGGCAATATGGAGCGTCAGGATGCACCCAGGTACTGGCCTCTCTGAGCCCCATCACAAGGCAGGGCAAGAGCTGAGGAAATGGAGTGATGAGCCCCACACACATTCGCCTTAAGTGGTCTTATGAGACCCATTGTCTTTCCTTTCTTTGATGAAGATGAAGTCAGACTAGCAAAACTCTACCTAGCACTTGTTAGAGAAAAGCCTTGGAAAGATGAGACCGTCAACTTGGGCACACTGGGGACACACAATTCTGAGCAGCAAGGCTGTTATGGCTAGTTGACATGGACGGAAGCCAGGTGTGTTCACAAGACGTAAGACTTGGAGATACTAAGCATTTGAATCCTAACCCATGGTGGGATGAAGGTCCCCTTTGTTCACGTTTTATTCCTGTTCTATATTTTGTCATCAAATTGACCTGGCTAGTTTTCAGAAGTCTCTTGAAGACTTGTGGACTTTTGAGAATTTTCACATTACGTCTTGTGGAACACAGTTCTCGATCCTGATGCTACACACACCCACTGCTGCCACGAAGACGGAAATTGACCTGGCTAGTTTTCAGAAGTCTCTTGAAGACTTGTGGACTTTTGAGAATTTTCACGTTACGTCTTGTGGAACACAGTTCTCGATCCTGATGCTACACACACCCACTGCTGCCACGAAGACGGCACCAAACCCTCCCCACCCCAAGCCATCTGAATGGTTGGTAAGCACCTGCTAGGGCCAGGCTGCATCCTCCCTAGATGGCAGGGACACAGCAGTGAACGTGAGTAGTCAAACGCCCCTGCCCTCAAGGAGCTTCACTCTGGGCTTCACTATGGCCAGGGCCCCAGGCAGACTCCAGGATAGCGTGATGGTCACTTCTTAATCACGGTGCTCACCAAGCTCAGCTCTTCCCAGAGCCAGGGAGAAAAGCACTGCCCCGAGCCCGCTCTGCAGAGCCACGTGCTGGGCAGAAGGCATTTGGGTAGATTATGCTCAACTCACGCCACGGAAGATGCTGAGAAACGCACCACCTCTCCACAAAGCCATGAAACCGTCAAACCACCAAAGGAGTTCATAGTCATTAATCCTGTATCTTAACTTTGCAGAAGCGATTTTAAGCAAAATGAGATCTGGGCAAAGATTGAGTAAAAGATGATAGGAAAAATCCAATATAAGGAAATGTATAAATTTATGACACTTGAACAAAAGTATATAATATGTGAGACTTGCTTCAAAATAATCTGGGGTAGGGAGAAGATGGAGGTTAATATTTGTTAATATTGAGTCCATATTTGTTGAAGCTGGGGGATGGGTAAAGAGGAGCTCATTATAGTATTTGTTCTACTTTTGTATATGTTTGGAAATTCCATAATATAAAGATTAAAAATTATGTATGGCACATCCATATGATAGAATACTATACTCATTAAAATTTTAGAACTTTTAGGCCGGCCCGTGGCTCACTCAGTAGAGTGCGGTGCTGATAACACCAAGGCCGCGGGTTCGGATCCTATATAGGGATGGCCGGTTGACTCACTGGCTGAGCGTGGTGCTGACAACACCAAGCCAAGGGTTGAGATCCCCTTACCGGCCATCTTTATAAAAAAAAAAAAAAAAATTTTTAGAACTTTAATATAGAAGTACTTAAAATATTATGTATGGTTGAAAAACAACAACATACAAAACTGTATACATAGTTTGATCCCAATTACTTTTATATATATGAAGAAAATATATTAAAATGTCAACCACGGTTATTTCCTGGTTATAGGATTAAGAGTCATCTGTTTTATTCTTTATCCTTTTCTATACTTTCAAAATTTGGAAAACATAAAATAAAGATTTTTGATAAAGAAAACAGACATCTTTACCTGAAAGAACTGCAGCTGCTTCTCCAGGCTCCAGAAGAACGGGTGCTTTAGCACGTGCTTTGCTGAGGGGCGTTTCTGAGGATCCATGGCAATCATTTTCTCTATTAATTCACGTGCAATGATGTCTTCTATAAAGGAGGAAAATAAACTCATTATTACCAACCCCAAACCACAACGAAATACTAAAAACTTTAAACATCTGCATACCCTTTGACGTAGGAGTCTACTTACAGTAACTTATTCCAATAAAATAATAAATACACACAAAACTTCAGCTAATAAGGAGAGTCTTCACTGCATTGTTTATAAAAAAAGCAACTGGAAATATCCAACATCAGAGGCTCAGGTAAACCCCTACTGTGCCTCCATATACTGACTAGGTGCCATTAAAATGATGTCATGGCTGAATACGGATTGACATGGAGAGATGTTCGAGATGGAGTTGGAAATCAAGCATGCTGCAAAACAGTATGAACAATTCCACCTGTGTCTAGGAAAATGATCAGAATAATACATACAAAAGTATTAATAGCAGTCATTCATTCCTGTATTAAACAGAATTATGAGCCTTTATGCTAATCTATTTTTTCTACAATGAATTAGGAAAAATAGCCCATAAGCAAAACAATAATTTAGTTTAAATTTTTTCAAAAGGCAGCACTGGGGTGTCATCAGCCTATTATAACTCAGGAAACTCCAAAGTCAGGAGGAAATACTTGCTGCACCTGTGCCAGGGGGGTAAGGACAGAGCCTGTCTGTCCCCAGTCTAGCCCAGACTGCACCAACTGACTGCTGGTCCTCACATGAAAGTCCAGTTTATGAAGCACAATTTGTCCCCCCAAATGCCAGAGCAGGAAGGGGCCTCAGATTATTTACCCCTCACATCACAAGCTGGAAAACAAAGGTCCCAAATGGGGCCTTGCGCCCAGGTCACACAGGTAGTTGGTGACCTGGAGGAACCTAGCAGCTTCTCGGCCTCAGAAGGTGGCACTCCAAGGATAACCCTAGCCACCGTCCACCATCTTTGGCCCGAGTTGGCAGGGTGCTAAGGCCCTCGGGGTGAGCAACTGGGACAGTAGGGCCTCTGGAGTGCAGAGGTGGCAACAGCCAGCCCCGTGGGCCACTCCCGACCCCAGCTGCCTCACCGTGCTTCTCTGGGTGGAAGCAGTCGAGGCTGTAGGCACCCAGGAGGATGTTAGCCTGCCGCTGCAGGGACTTGCCGAAAGGGTGGTTGCCCTCAGAGATCACGTAGTAAAAGACGCAGCCCGCGGAGAAGATGTCCACCGTGTAGGTCTGAAAAGAAACGCAGGTGTGAGAGGCCCCGGGGCAGAGTTGTCTTCCTCACTAGCAGCCGAGGAGTGCTACTTCCGCCACTGGGAACCTGTCTTGGGAGAATCAGCTGACATATGTGAACGGCCCAGGGCAGCGAGGGGCACCCTGCAGTGCCGTGTGTGTGTGTGTGTGGGGGGGGGGGGGTCACAGTGGAGGATTCGGGCTTGGGAGCCCACTGCCTGGGCTGCCGACACTGCCACTTGGCCGCTGGAAGCCCTTGGCCACTCTGTGCTTTGGCGTCCTTGCATGTAAGATGAGGGCAGTGATGATCTGTTCCTCATGGAGTAGTTGTGAAGATCAGATGCATCCATATGTGAAAACTGTTACTTAAAACAGCACGTGACCCATAGAAAGCACTCTCCTAGATGTCAGGCGTTCTTTACCTGCCCGGCACCAAGTCCTCAAAGGCATGGGGTCCTGTGTGTTTGTGTCCCTGCGTACCCCAGGGCCTACAGGGGTGCTTACACACAGTAGACATCAAAACTTTGCTAATAAGTGAATGAAACAGACTTTGGCTCAAAAACAGCCCAGAAAGAAACTATCTGACAAGTTTCCAAAGAGATTACTTTTTGCGTTATCTGATAACACCTTTCACTTATCCTGTGAAATCACTCAGTGTCTATGGATGGACTTCTTTTCAGGGAAAAGTGCCTGTGTGATTTCCAGCTCATGTTATGTGGGGTGTGACACCAGGTGGCTCCTGAGCACAGCTTGGGTCCCCCCACTGCCTGGCTCCACCATTCAGATTCTCCACCAGATGAAGTGAGCATCTGGTGAGAGAGAAAGCCAGCGCCTTATCACCTTCCACGACGGAGAAAACACACCTTTAACAGCATCGCACTTTCATTCAGCCTCACAACAGCCCGTGCGGTGAGCAGAGCAAATGTTACCATCCCCAGAGGAGGGCATGGACAGAGAGCTTCAACGACAAGCTCAGGGTCACTGCTGGATAGTGACAAACAAGGCCTAGACTCAGGTCTTCTAATTCCCAAACCTAGTACTCTTTATTCTACCTCATCAGAACTGTTCTTAGGTAGGTGACAGATTCAGGAGAGCAGGAACACGGCCACCACAGTTGCAGCTCTTACTTGATGGCCACTTCCCCTTCTCACCATGTCTCCCAGGCCTTCTGCATCCCCCACCTGCCTCAGTCTCCAGTGGAGTCAGCGCTCAGGCGAGGAGGCGCCTTTCCTGCCTTCCTGGGTCCTACTTAATGCTCTTTCCGAAACTTATTCCTGCCACTTGTTCTTGTAACTTAAAAAAATATTCCCTAAGCTGACAAATACAAGAGCCACAAAGTTTGAGGTAAACTGAATCTTGGGAAAGACTCGCTAAAACGGAGTGGCTAGAAAAGTTGCCGTGGAATTAGGTGTAGGAGATTCAGCTGTAAGGGACTGGAACTTAAAGAGTTAAAAACTTGGATTCTGCTCTCAAGCCTCTTAGGAAGTGTTTGAAATGCCCAAGTCTCGATGTAGAAGTCACAGAAGTGGCAATGTGAGTGTGCTTAATGCAAGAAAGAAAATAAACAACTCCACTCAAACCTAAATCTGAAGAGAAGACCTATAGCAAAAGATTTCTATTATTTAAAGAATCATATTACTTACTTTAAGTTACAATAAAATGTTTAAGGTGTGTGTGTATTTTCTTAACGATTCTTCAACGTAGCTGACTTTTGTGACTAACTGACCAGCTGCTGGTCCCAGGGAACTGGATAAGAGGGAGTCTACCGTTTATCTCATCTGTTCAGGACGGCTGATATCATCCAGGTCTGGATCAGGGAAAGTACAAGGTGAGCCTCTGACCACTTGCTGTGCTAGAAAACAAGGTGCTCAAACATGTGCAGGCTCTTACAAACGGACATAGAAGCCAGCCTGAAGGGACTCCCATTAGCCAAATTTGGGACAATCTGAGTATCGAAAGGAGTAAGGGCACACAAACACACAAAAGGCTACAATTGATTTTAACACTATTTTTTTTTTTTTTGTCTTTTTCCGTGTCCGGCAACGGATCGCAACCCTCAGTGTTGCCCCCGTACCGGACCGGGGACCAGCAACGGGATTGCAACCCTCGGCGTTGCTCCCGCGCCTCGCTCAGCCAGTGAGCGGGAACCGGTCTGTATGTGGGATCCGAACCCTCGGGCGGGAGTGCCGCCGCGCTTCCCAAGCGGCGCACTATCCAGTGCGCCACCGGGCCGGCCCCTTAACACTATTTTTTTTTTTTTGTCTTTTTCCGTGTCCGGCAACGGATCGCAACCCTCAGTGTTGCCCCCGTACCGGACCGGGGACCAGCAACGGGATTGCAACCCTCGGCGTTGCTCCCGCGCCTCGCTCAGCCAGTGAGCGGGAACCGGTCTGTATGTGGGATCCGAACCCTCGGGCGGGAGTGCCGCCGCGCTTCCCAAGCGGCGCACTATCCAGTGCGCCACCGGGCCGGCCCCTTAACACTATTTTTTTTTTTTTGTCTTTTTCCGTGTCCGGCAACGGATCGCAACCCTCAGTGTTGCCCCCGTACCGGACCGGGGACCAGCAACGGGATTGCAACCCTCGGCGTTGCTCCCGCGCCTCGCTCAGCCAGTGAGCGGGAACCGGTCTGTATGTGGGATCCGAACCCTCGGGCGGGAGCGCCGCCGCGCTTCCCAAGCGGCGCACTATCCAGTGCGCCACCGGGCCGGCCCCTTAACACTATTTTTTAAATCCTTGAGTGATTAAGAAAAAGAAAAAGAATGAAAGAAAGAGATAAAGGGAGTAAAAACAAACCTCGTCTGTACAGAAAAATGCCAGCTAACAAAAGTAGAAGAATTACCACTGAATTGAGTGCTTAAAAGGAGGCCAATAGTTGCTAAACCACTGGACGAATGTTGGTAAACAGGATGTTCACACTTCACTAAAGTATCACCCGCACATCTCTTACTAACAATAAAGGGAGAAATGAACCTTCACGGTTCAGAGGTCAGTTGAGACAGGAGATCCAAGTTAACATCCCTAATATGGGTCCAGCAATAACAGTACAACAGTACAATAATAATGGTACAATCCACTATCACATGCCTCCTGATGTAGTGACCTGCGATCTATTCTTGCCCAAAACATTTAACTTGAATCTAATCAAGCCTCTAGACCTAACTTCTAGTTCATAGGAAATACAAGGTCTAGAGATAAACGTCAAATGCCGTCAAAAGGAAACAGTCAAATAAATCCAGAATGGGGCATTCTATCAACAACTGGCCAGATCCTTCAAAATGTCCATATCATGGAATAAAACAGGGGGCAAGACTTTAAATTTAAAAAGATACAAATCAAATCCAACACAAGACTCTTGATTGGGTCCTGTTACACAAAACCCAGCTCTATAAAAGACATTTGGGGAACAACTGGGGAAATTTGAATATGATTGAGTATTAGCTGATGTGATGGAAACAGTACCAATTGTTCAGGTGGGATAATGGTCTGGTGGGTAGGAAGTACAATGTACTTGTTCTTAGCACACGTGTGCTGAAGCAGTCAGGGGTGAAGGGTGGGACGCATGCTGCTTATAGTCAAAATGTTCAGCAATAGGCACATAGGGAAAGATAAAACAAATGTGGTTAAAGCATTAACAAGTGTTGACTCTAGGGGAGGTACACAGGTATTTACTACAACATTTTTTCAATTTTCTGTAAGTCTAAAAATTCTCAAAATACAAAAAGTTGGGAACAAAAACAAACATATATTAAAAATACTGAAAACTGGAGGTTTGCTCATTTTTATGCAAGTCCTAATTTCTCAGTTTTCCAAAATAAAAAAGGGATCAAAGTGACTGGAAGGGTAGGTGGATAAAAGTAGGCAAAAGCCAACATTCACACCTTTCACTCATCTGAACATGAGACTCTGCAGGAAGTTCCCACAGCAGCTCCACGTGAAAGGAAGGCATTCTGCGGCTACGTATGCCACAGCCCCCAACCTTGAGTTTGCAGGTTCTTACTCCTGAGGACACAGTAGTCTAGTTCCACAGCTTTCAAAGGATCATGCCCATTACTCACAGGGTTCTCCTTGCAGTCTTCACTCAGCATCTCCGGAGCAATCCAGCCTTCTGTGCCGGGCACCCCAGAACGGCGGCTGAAGCTGTGCCTGCCCACTGCCAGCTTCTTGCAGAGGCCAAAGTCAGAGATCATGGCCTTGATCCTGCCATGGGCATTGGGCATGGAGAGGAGAATGTTGTGGGGCTTCAGGTCTCTGTGAACTGATAGAGAACTGCAGATGAGTCCATGGCCGAGCAAGCCCGGGGCTCCTACAATGGGAGTGCATCCTTGCCAGACTCCTGTTATACCTGCTGTCACCTCTAAAGGTTCTGGTTTTCTAAAATTCCTCCTTGAGAACAGAACTGAGGCTACCAAAGGTGGGAAGGATGGAGAAAGGCGGGGGATTAGTGAGAAATTGAAAAAGGGCCACAAAAATGATTACATTGTAATTGTCCTGATTTGAGCACACAGGTAATTGATATTCAATGCTATACCCCACAGATACGTACAATCATGTTTCAATAAAAAATAAGATTTCTTCTCAAATTCTTCTTATACAACTTGTGAAAAGATCACCTAACCACCCCCTCCATCCCTTGCACACCAGTAATGTAGCAAAGAGCTTAAACAGAGGCAAAGCCAACCTGAGCCAGGCGACCACCCCACCTCCCCACCCCCAGGCCCTTGGTCTGGGGCAGGGCAGCCTCTCACCAATGTTGAGGGAGTGCAGGTGGGCCAGGCCTGAGGTGGTCTGCTGTAGCAAGGTGATGGGCTCCAGGCCGAGGTGGGCAAAGTCCTTCTGCTCCACGTACTGCAAGAGACATGATAGCAAGGTCATGGCGCACAGCCCTCAGGACTTGGCCCCTCAGCTCATTTTCTTTGATCCTATTTTAACAAAGAAATGGTAAGTTTTACTGACAACAGTCTATCCAAATCTATATTTTCCAATAGAACTCCTAAAGTCGCAGACTGACTTAAATAAAAGAAAGGTCCAAGTTACTACTTTACAATGAGAAAGGCAAGGCAAGAAACTCAAGTTTACTGCCTCATATAGGTAAGCCTACAAGGGAATCCAAATGATCCTGAAATAGTTTCACAGTGAGCCTGGAAACTGAGCAAAAGGAGTTTGCTGGATGACCTTAAAGCCTGGAGTCATCACCCAGCATCCCCCGAACCCACACAAGCCACAACCAGAGATGGAAAGAACTGACCAGGTTTCCCGAGGCAAAGAGGGACAGACATGCCAGCAGCTGCCAAAGACTGCCCGGCAATGCTGAAGGGAGCACACCATTACACTTGGGGTTTTGTGTTTGTAGTTAAATGAGCATTTACAGGTGTCCAAATGCATCACACTGTACCTTTAAAATGAGTACATTTCATTATAACTTCAATAAAGGCAACAAAATGAAAAAAAAAACCAAAAAAGTGGCAGTCCCTAAGACCACACCCCAGTTGGCGGGGGAAGGCCACTGCTGTGGCCATGGCACTGCTGTCAGTAACCCCGGGCACCCCAAGCCAGCTGGCCCCACCTCTTGCAAGGTGGCTGCGCACAGCTCGATGGCAATGTACTGGAACTGCCGGTCCCTCTCCGTGCAGAAGTAACGGATCACGTTTGGGTGCTCGTCTGACTCTCGCAGCAGCTGGACCTCACGGTCTGCAAAGCTAAAACACTCAGGGAGGATCCTCTTCACGGCCACATCGCGGTTGTCAAACATGCCCCTGAGGGACAAGGAGTGGGAGTGTTTGCTAAGTGCAAGTTGGTGACGCAGTGGCCACCTCATGAGCCTCATGGTGCAGAGGGCCCTGGCTGGCCACCAGGAAGCCCCGGGGTCATCACTCCTCTCTGTGCCTGAGCTCCCAGGAGCCTGGCACTCGGCCTGCAACCCGACGGGCACTCATGCCCCAGGAGGCGAGGGCACGGGCCTGGCTGGTCCACTCACCGGTACACAATGGTGCCCTCAGCTCCGTGACCCAGGACGTCTTTGGGACAAAATGAAATTTTCCCAACTATCACCATGCAGGTTTCCTCATCTGGGACAAAAGGCGAAAATGAAAAGGCCATTTTAAACAGATATCACCTGTAGAGGCTTGGGGCTAAAATGGCTACCAGCTTCCTGAGCTCAGATTAAGAGATGGGATTTAAGAGGCTCTACATGCCCGGAATCCTGGCAGGCAAGAGCTGGCTGCGCCCACTCCCCATGTACGCCCAAGGCCACCTCTTCCCCCTGCCCTCTGTTTCTGCTTTTACGTTATTGAAGGAATGCATGTCTCAAAACCTTCCTGAAGACAGGGATTCCCTATAGCATTTTATCTATTTATATATATTTCCTTACATATAATTAGAACTATTTCATGGTCAATAAAAAAAGGATCCACCTCAAAGATGTGCACCTGAAACGTTCAGGCAGAGGCGGCAGACATGTAACATGAGGAGACAGCGAGGGACCTGGGCTCTGAGATCCCTGCACTGGCTCTGTCAGTGCCCTCAGAATATCACCCTGATGACCAGCTGGGCCGACTCCCAGAGAGGAAAGCGGACCGACAGCTGCACTTGCACACATGGCTACTGGCTGGCCTCGGGGATTCTCTGAAGCCCCCGGGCAGTTTGCCTCTGGCCAGCAGCAATTCCCAGTCCTTATGGAGAAAGATGCAGGAGGGCAGGGTGGCCCATGGAAGGCCCTCTGAAGGGGAGGTGCCATGGGATGGGGCAGAAGCCCACTCCACAGAGACCCACAGGGTGGGAGTTAGGGGAGAACACGGTGAGCACTCAGGACGGGTACTCTGTAATCTCACGGAGACTCCAGGAAGGACATGGTGCTTTATAGCTCTCAGGTGGTGTTTGAGTAAAAGATAAAATAGCAGCAAAGTGGTGACTGGCTTTACCGTCGTCATCCTGCTCCAGGGACAGGCTTGTGCCAGCCTTAGAGGCAGATTGGAGTGAGTGGTTGGAGGCTCGGGGGGACATGCTGGGGCTGCTGGTGCCCGAGCTCTCCGAGTACGGCCCAGATGTGTCCAAGAGCTCGGTGTCCTGAGTCGCATCTCCAGCTGGATGGAAGGGCAGCTGCTGCTGTTGCAGGAGCTGGATTTTCTCCAGTTCCTTCTGGAACTGCTGGTGCTGCTGCTGCTGATGCATGCTCTGGGAAGAGAAAGCTACGTCCAGGCAAGTGTAGCCATTCCAGCAGGGAAACAAGCAGCTGGGAAGGGAGAGGCCCCAATGGCAGAGGAAGCAGGTATACTTTATGTGACCCCCACAGGGCAGAAAGAGACCAGTGAGAAGGCATGTGCAGGCAGAACCGATTCAGTGACTGGCCAGATAGACCCTTCCCAGTACAGCTCACTCCCCAATTCTGGAAGGGCCTGGCAGGGCCTGAATGGCCACCAGGGGGCCCCAGAGGAGCGACTGTGCCCTAGGCAGAGGGAGTTCCTTTCAACTCTAAAATTCTGTGACTTTATGAAAGCCTGGGAGATGTTGCAAAGTGAAACCACACAGGAAGAATGGCTACTGTGGTGAAGAGTATTGTGGGTACGGGGCGAGCCCCAGGCTTTCTGTCCACTACGGCTCCCAGCTTAATAGAGCCTAGCGTGCAGTGGGCCAGAGGCAGAGGGGCAGAGGTGGCAGCTGTGGCTCAGAACCCCGCAGCCAGCAGTGGCAGAGAGGGTGGAGCTGGCCAAGCTCCTGCCCTCCCATTTCATCACACCACCTTCTCTGCACCTACACTCCTCTTGGATATTTGGAAAGGTTCATCCCGTCATCATCTGAAGTGGCAGCAATCTGTGACTGTGACTACCCATGCATGGGAGGTTGACTCAAGGGACTGGTGTGTAGCCAACAACCCACCGGGGAGTTTTCTACTTTCTCTTCCTCTTAACCTTGGGTTGAAGTCCTGGAAATGCCATCTACTAGCTGATTACTCTTAGCTTCTCAGGGTCTAGTTTCTTCTTTTGTGGCTAGGGGATAAGTAATAATGACCTCATAGGACTGTGTGAGGTAAAAATAAAACAATCAGGAGAACACATTTCACCAATGGAAAGTGCCATGAAGGTGCTTCACAGGACATGAGCTTCCTGAGCACGCGGGGCCTAAGGTGATAACATTTCAAAGCTTTGAGCAACTTGTCGAGGGAATATTCCCCTAGGATAGTTGATTCCACCCACAACATACTCGACTATGCAGTGTTAGCTCACTTATTTCCATCTAGGAAGCCACACAGGGCTGATCTAACAGGCAGTTTTTAAGAGAGGAAAGACTTCCATCTATTAATCTCATTCTTCCAAAAGAAAATACAGTTAACTATTCAAAACAATCTGAAAGCAAGGTTTACAAATCAGCTTTTACAGCCTGTTACTTGAAAAACACTAAGGTGTAGGTACAAAATTATCCTCTTCTGAGAAGCTACTGTCTCTTTCATTGCCATGTTTTTGAAGAAAAGCAAATATTGACTTTTCAATGTGAAGAGAAACGTGTTAGCTGTTTTTGTCTGGAGGTGACAGGCAGAGAAGGTCAGAAACATGCAGGAGGGCCAAGGGCAGGGGCCGAGCGTTACCAAGGGGTAGGTGATGATGAAGGCCACCCAGCCGATGAGCAGGAAGGTGCTCAGGATGATGGTGGCCACGTCCTTGAGCATGGAGTCCATGGGGGCCTCGGGCTTGGCAGGTGCATGAGCAAACTTCTCCCCCACCCCCTGGGACACGGTGGTAGGCGCGTTTTCCGAAGTCTCGTCAACCAGGTTGATAACCTTGTGTGGGAGAAGAGTCACTACGTCACTGCAAAATTTCTAGCCTCCTTAGACGAGGTGAACAGCCAAGACACTGTGTCCTGGAATCTGAAAGTTCCATCCTTTTCCTTTGTTTCTGGATAAAGTCTAAATCTCTCAAGTGCTTTTGTCGTCTGTGGTCCCTGAATCCCATCTTCTGACCTTGCCCCTGTCCCAGGCACTTTCTCCATCTCACTGATCTCCATGGCAGGGCCGCAGGAGTTTCCAAGCACAAATGACTCACGAATGCTTCAGACAACCCTTTCCCCCCTTGCCGGCCATGCTCAGACCCTCCTGTGGGGCCGACCCCCAGCCCCCTCCACCCGCTCTGTGCCCAGAAGGCTGACTCGTACAGGCTGGTGTGATGGGCTCCCCAGCCCTCTGGTTTCTGGCTGGGTGAGGGCAGCAGGGAACAGTAGCAGATGAGACAGAGGGAGGAAACGGTGGCGTTCCGTGGAGCCTCCGCGTCCCTTCACGCAGGTCTCGGCTGCTGGGCTGGGCCCCTTTTCACTCCCTCCTCTCTGGCTTCAGGCCAACATGTGCTACTAGAACCCCTGGTACTGTCCACATCTGTGTGAACAGTCCTGCTGCTAAACTCCCCACAAATCACCTAATTTAGGTGGCCATCTGTGTCCAGCAGAACCCACAAGCAGCACACCCTATTGCCCCAGGGCGGTGGGAGGCCAGCCCGTGTCAGCTCCCACCCGGGCAGGCCGCCCTGCTACCTCAGCCTCTGTGCTCCAGGTGCCCTGGGCCCCCGCCAGACCAAGAGGCCAAACCAGGCCACTTTCATCTCCCCTCCTGCTCATCAGCTCGACTCCTCCATCAGGCTTGCTTGAGGTTTGGTAACATTGTTCCCCCCCCCCTCCACCCTGTGAGCTCTTGTTCCACTGCTCCCTCCTGGTGGCTGTGGATCCAGGATCCAGTCAGGCTGCCTCCGCACAGCCGGCATTACTCCACTTCCAGGCCTTTGCCTGCGCTGCCCTCTTCCCTCGTGCCCTCCAGCTCTCCAACCAGGCCACGTCCTGCCCGTCTGTCCAGGCCTGGCTCGGTCCTGCTGCCTTTCCTGGCGCGCTCCTCTTCCCTCCTCGACAGACTGTGAGCGCTAAAGGCAAAGTCTACCTTGTCCCCAACAGCGCGTGAGCAGCCACCAGCTGACTTCACCCCCTCACTCACCTCCTCAAAGTTCTTCTCCGAATCAGCAGGAATCACATTTTCCCGATGTTTCGGCAGATTGTTGGGAAATCTCTCCAGCATCTTGGTAGACGCAGACAGTGGGGTTTCATGGTGTCCTACGACAGGAAACAAAACCTTTAATGAGAACAGTTTCCCAAGCAGTGGTAGCCTCGACACTGAACACAGGCAGCAGCCACTACCCACCGAGGGTCCATGACGCAAGCCCTCACATCTACCAAGTTACAGCGACTGAGAGGTTGTTACATCCAAACAGAAACCTTCTCATTGAAACAGAAATTTTATTACTTGTTGGCAGAAGACAGTAATGAGGAACAGCGTCCGTGTCATGAGAGGGATCGGGATGTGTGGGATGCATTCAGGGGCAAGACCTGTGTGGTTGCCTGTGTCCCATCACAGGTGAAGCATGATGAAGCTTCATTAGAAGTTGAAGGAATTCTGGGCCGAGCCCGTGGCGCACTCGGGAGAGTGCGGCGCTGGGAGAGCAGCAGCGCTCCTGCCGCGGGTTCGGATCCTATATAGGGATGGCCGGTGCGCTCACTGGCTGAGCGCGGTGCGGCTGGTCTCAAAAAGGACACACAAAAAAAGAAGTTGAAGGAATTCTACTTTCAATGCTTTCCCCTATAATGTTACTGCACTAAGGCTACCAAATTCCCATCTCAGTATTTAAATTGGTGGGGTGGAGTTTTATTCTTTCTCTTGGAAGTAGTGACTTATTCGTAAGAAGGCAATAGGAGTTATCTGTAGATGGACTGAGGGTGGAGGGGGGTCACCGCTCTCTCAACTGTGCATTCACTGTTCTCTACACAACGATTTCATGAATACCCAGTATTCATTACACATTTATTGAGCATCTGTTGTGTGCAAATTACCATAAGAGACACAAAGTTGACTGAAATAAGGAACCGGGATTTGACACGGTTTGATAATCCATTTAGCTCTAAAATTAAAAGATGCCACAAACCGCCCAGAAGAGCAGGGCCACTTTCTCATGACAGGCCATCAGACCTTCCTTCTCTCACTGTGATCAGATCTCACCTGGATCCAGGTCTCTCTCACATGTGATCACCCTATGATCTTCCACTATTCCCCCAATTTAGCAAAGATTTTATGACATGCATACCAAGATGAAAACAAACAAGGTTCAAGCTATGTACGTTTCTTGGTCTGGAAAAATCCTCTTTAATTCCCCATCTCAGGTCAGTTCTCTAACTACAACACAGCATTGTTCTTTAAGGGAAACCCACTTTTGTTCTCAACCACCACTCGTTTTTCCTTGTCTGCCAAGGTGCTCTGAGCCATGCTTTCTTTGGAGCAGGATTCCCCATGTGTGATCTGCCCATTGCAGACCCCTGAATCAGATTTGCTGATGGGGGCCAGAAATCTGAATTGTGGGTATCTGCGGGTAACTGAGGATCATTTACAAGAGACCTATGGTCTAAGAGAGATGGATTGTCCTTCCACATGCCACCTAGTGCTGCAGTATCCTGCCTGCCTCCCTACCCCCAACACTCACTCTAGTGCTCAGAGTCCTACCCATCTGGTAGGACACCTGTCATGAGATTGCTATGGAAATCATCAACCTGAATCTCCACTCTTCCTCCTGTTGTCCTTCTTATAAATAGCTGGGCATTCAATAATATCATGTTCCACACTTTGAACCAATCATTCTACAAATTTAATCGTGAGATCCCTAAGCATTTTTGTACAAATAGTAACTGGTCTTAGTGATTTTTCACCTATCATCATCAATTAGGTCCAGACTGCAAAGCAAAAAGTACACGGTTAGGCCCTGCCCAGGGACTACGTACACCTCTTTGACCAAGCTCCAGGTGATGCTGAGAGCAGCCCAGGTCCGGACCCTGCGCTGGGGCAACCCATAGACCACACCTCTCAAGCTAATCAGACCCATTTTATTTTCAAGATTAATGTGAGCATGGGATATCTTTAACGTCTTCTATGAAAACCAAATCAAAGACATATTTGGACATAAAAAGCATATCCTTTTACCTGTGGCTCCAGTCTACAGGGAGATTGTCAAATAGCCTTATTTAAAAATGACTACCTTTGGAGTTCCTCAAACAGGACTTCAGAATTGTGGGAGTCTTACTTAATTACTTCTTTATACTTGTTGGGTTTCCCAGTTTTCTTATTTGAACAACGTTTCCATTTAAAAGGATCTCATTTTACAACTCCTTGGATTCACTTCTCAACTAAGTGGTTTATATAACCCTTAACTGGTACATAACACTGAGTAGTCTTGTACTTTTTTTTTTTTTTTTTCTTTTTTTTTTTTTTTTTCTTTTTTTTTTTTTTTTAAAGATGACTCGGGCCGGCCCGGTGGCGCACTCAGTAGAGTACGGCGCTTGGGAGTGCAGCGGCGCTCCCGCTGAGGGTTCGGATCCCATATAGAGACCGGTCAGCTCACTGGTTGAGCGCGGTGCGGGTGCGACACCTAGGGTTGCAATCCCGTTACCAGTCACGAAAAAAGACAAAAAGGAAAAAAAAAAAGAAGATGACCGGTAAGGGGATCTTAACCCTTGACTTGGTGTTGTCAGCACCATGCTCAGCCAGTGAGCTAACCGGCCATCCCTATATAGGGATCCGAACCCGTGGCCTTGGTGTTATCAGCACCACACTCTCCTGAGTGAGTAATGGGCCGGCCCTAGTCTTATAATTTTAATGGCTTCTGCTCACCATGAGCCCATTTATGCATGCTTCCCAAATTACTTCTGTTAAAAAAAAAAACAAAAATAAAAAGTTTTTGTCATCTCCTTTGCCCATAATTTGGTAAAAATAATCAAAATAAAAATGGCTACGAGAAATCAACCTACAAAGGGAACGATTAGGGCTCGAGTACACCCAGTTTCCTCTCTGCAGCACCTGGTTACAGGCATCCCCATCCAGACCCCACTGCCTGGCAGATGCTGCTGCTTCCTGGGCCCCACCCTCTACTCCAGAGCCCCAGCCCTGACGTCCTCCTGTCCTACAGCAGTCAGCGTAAGCAGCTGGGGAGGAGGAAGAAGAGAAGAACCTCGCCAGCCCCTGGGTGCTTGGGCATCCCTCCTGTCCTCCAACCCCGCCCCCACCGGGGCTCACCCTACCTCTCAGGGCTGGGAGGCAGCAGAATGGGGGAGGAGCAGATGGGATTCAAGATAACTCAGTCCTGCTCCACTCACTCAGGACACTTGGCAGAGACACAGCTCCTCTCACCTCCGCCTTCGTCTGTCTGTCATGCTCACTACCTTCGGGTGTCACCTCTTATCTCTTTGGCTGACAGGGTCTCCAATTCAACCCCTGGCTATTAGTGGTGGGAAGAGAAAAGAAAAAAAGGGCCTCCCCCACATGCCTGGGACAACACTGCCCTAGACCCAAGTCCAGCTCCCGACTCTTCATACTCTCAATCCCTCCTGGCCTTCAACCCTCTCCCCGCCAAACCCTCACCCTCACCCCCATGTCCATATGAATTCCAAGTAAACTCTTCCATAGAAATAGTCTATGTTTTAACTACAAAATGGAAATAACAAGGGTATCTACCTCACACAGGGTCACTGTGAGGAATAAGAAAATTTATTCTAAAGTGCTTAGTGCCAATGCCTAGCACATAATAGACCTTCAATGTGTCAAATAATGACACAAAATTTACATCATTCATGATGTAAATTCATGAGTTTTGGAACATTAAACCATTTTGGGGAACTGACTCGGTAACACCGCTACCCTGTTTATTTTCCTTAGGGGTAGAAATGTTCCAGGGTCTAAAGGACCAACTTGGAAATGAACTGAGCACAGGCCATTCAGAGGTGACTGGCAGGGCTGGCTCCTGCCCACCAGGAGGCAGCATGCTGTCACCCACGGCTGCTGCTAAAGAGGCTGACTTTACCTATCAGAAGCCAGTAGTTCCTCAAGTCATGGAGCTTGTTCTTCCCCTTGAGTCCAGGGTCGAACTTGAGGTCCGTGCTGGGGGTGATCACACACTCTCCTTTGTCCCCAATGGTGACACCATCAGTCTGGGGGCCTTCCAGCAAAGGAAGCGTGCTGCCGCGGGGCTGTGGAGACAGGGCTGCAGTGAGGCCAGGAGCCCTCGCGGGACAGTGGGTTCACCAGGTCCTGCAACACACCTTCCCAGCCACAGGCCCGAGCTGCGAGGGAACGGCTGTGCCTCAGGTGAGCGGTTCCTAGTGAGGGGCTGGTGCAGGACAGTCAGAGCAAGACACAAAGACCCCAGGATGGGGCACGAGAAGCTCCTTCATCAGGACATGACACTGCTGCACTGACATCTGTCACTGGACAGCTTGCACATTCTTCTGACTGGGTGCCAGGGAACAGGAAGGGTGTGTGTACGGAACTCCAAGGAGCAGGTATAGGTGAAGGAGCACGAGTGGATATCTACTAGTCATAACGGGGCAATGAGCGGTGTTGGCCAAGGTGCCAGCCCAGGTACTACTGGAGCCACAGCAGAGGCAGCCACTGCCCTGCTCGCAGCAGCAGCCTGCCAGCTCCCCGGGAGGACAAGGGACAGCCACAGCCCAAATGCTGTAAGGATCAAGGTGAGCGACCAGGATCATGACGCCTCAGACACTGAGAGTTCAAGGCAGGCTGGTGAGGCTGAGGCGGCCCGGGTAGTCATGAAAGGATGGAAAGGAATGAGGGGAAGAGGAAGAAGGAGGGGCATTTGAGTGTGCAGAGCAGCCTGAAGAAAGGCTTGGCAGAGAGATGAACAGTGAACTTTTAGAAATCAGGGAGAAGGTGCGCTTGATTGGACTGTAATTTCCATGGAGCAACTAACAGTGTGGTGGAAGGGCGTCGTGGGACTGGAGTGAGGACGGCCCCGAACTCCAGGCTTGAGAGTTTAGATTTGAGTGTGAAGGCAGAGGGGAATACCAGAGCTTCGTAGGCTTCAAGAAATGCTTCACCAAGTGTATCTCTCTTTCAAAGTAGAACATGGAATGTGCAGAGACTGCTTTTGAGGATTTAAGATCAGTGTTGTGCATTCTTAACCAACAGACATTCATGTACAATTCAGTCATTCTTTGCTAAAATGGAACAGGAGCAGTTAGGAGGCCCCCAGAGTGGACTTACCACGACAGCGACACCTTCATGTACCATGGAGGGGGAGGCGTAGAGGCTGGTAGAGTATTTCCCAACATACAGGGTGGGCCTAGGAGAAAAACAGATACATGCATTCCAAAGTCATTTAATTTCTGAATCCCACAAAAGGGGACTTTTTGGAGAGAAGAATCATAGACCCAAATACCACCCGCAGGAATAGCCCCATTAACCCCCAGGCATGGGGGAAATCAGCAGGGGTGTGAAGGCAGGAGCGCTACCCTGGACTTCAGACGCCAGCTGTCACTCACTGCCTACAGAAATAGGACAAACCACCCAACGGCAAGCCCCGGTTTCCTCATCTGCAAAATGGCAGGGCCAGAATAGACCATGCCCATGACAGCCTGCAGAAAGGACCACGTCCAGTGACCATCCAGGAGACCAAATGTTTAGCAACCACCACCAAAGCTGCTCAGATGACCCTCACCCTGACACTTTCACACCGAGCTACCACCAGAGTTACCACTGTTCTTCCTTGTGCTTTTAAAGGATTCTACAGTTCTACAGAAGCCCTGAAAGACAGCCAACTACTCTACTCTGGGTGCCTAGAGCAAAAGGGATGTGTAAGAAATTCCAGACTGAGGCTTCCGGTCCCCCAGCTGTGTGGTCTGTCTCTGTCTGGGGCATTGAGGAGGCGATTATGGCTTTGACGGTGGTGTCAGCGTGAAAACGGCAGGAGCTGCACCTCCAGACCCTTCTAGTTACTCTCAATGGCCCACGTGGGATAGTTCAGCTACCAAATGATCTCAACCTCTCTCAACCAATAGCTTACATTTGAACAGTGTTTTACAATTTAGACAACACTTTCATGTACATCATCTTATTTGATCTTCCCCACTCCTCTGTAAACTGGGAAACTGAGGCTTGGCAAGGTTAAGTGACTTAGTGACAGGCTATGAACAGGTGGGGATGGAGAGCACTCCGTCAGTGCTTAGTCTTGGACACTCACACTGTAACACGTTTTTCTGATTTTTAAGATAAATGTAATAAAAATTTAGAAAATATAGAAAGTTAAAAAAATCAATCTCTTGTATTCCTACTGCCTGAGATATATCCAAAGCTGTACTATAGTTATACTGACAGCTTCTTTCCTATCCTTACTTGTGACTTTTATTTAATTTTCAAGAACTCTGAAGTGTCAAGGGTTGCCTCCCAGTTCTTATATTCTGAGGTTTCCAAATGACCCAGTCTTGGCTCTTGACATTCCTCATGGCTTCAGAGATGTCTGCCCTAATCCCTGGTCTCCAGGGTTGGGTATGGGGCGCTGCAGCAGTGCCACAATGCCAGGGCCACGGCTGCCCTCTCCTGGTCTGAGTTACCGGACTCACATCAGCTTGCTCTTGGCCTCCGTCTCCTTGGGGAACGGGTACTTCCACTTGGTGATGCGTCCCACCTCCCCAGACATGAAGGTCAGATAGCGCAGGGTCTCCACAGCAACGTTGATGTGCATCACCTTCCTCAGACCCTCCCGCTGCCAGACATAAAAGGCCACCACAGGGGAGGCATAGTTTTGGATCCACAGGACGTCCCCAGATTCACTGTCCACAGTCACCACCAGCCCATCACCATTGGACACAAAGTGGGACATCTCTGTACAAATCAAACAAACAAAACTTGTCAAATCTCACCCTGTCTTGCAACCACATCCTCTACTCTCTGGGCAAGCTGCAGTCTCTCTGCTAGAGGAAACAAGACTTCTGGAGCATCCTCAGATTCCCTCTGAACAATTTCACTTGTTTCCAATGAACTCACCAGGCTCTACAATATCAAGACACTGAGAGACACTTGGCTTATAAACGTTAAGTAGGATCACTCTCCCAGGGCAATTTACTTGATGACGTTCTTCAGCATTCTGTTCAGTAAGTGAGAATAAATATTGAGGAGGAAGGAGCCAATGGAGATGCCTATCAACATGGCATTTTATAGCAAAACCTATCAATCAAGCTGCAAGTTAGACCTGAACCACTGACACCGCCCACATCCAACCCACAATGGAGTACTCAGAGACAAACAAAAATATTCTAGGTCCTAGACCAGGAAAGTCAGAGTCAGACTTTCAGATACCAATGTTATGATGGCAAAATTGGTTTTTAGTTTTGATTTGAATTGGGGGAATGTTAACTCTAGAAATGACTACAGGATGAACCACATTTATAGAGTGGCCTTTTCGATGGGGTTGTTAGTGTCATGATGTTTTTTTTTTTAATTTATTTTATTTTTTTTATTTTTAATTTTTTTTTTTTAAAGATGACCGGTAAGGGGATCTTAACCCTTGACTTGGTGTTGTTAATTTATTTTATTTTTTTAATTTTTAATTTTTTTTTTTTTTTAAAGATGACCGGTAAGGGGATCTTAACCCTTGACTTGG